AAAATTGAAGCTTAGGTGTTAGATATGTAAATACAAAAGAATGATATGGTATGCATGTAAATCTTCCTATTATTTATTACTTTTACTGTAAAACTAAAACTAGTGTTGTACTCATCAGATGGAGGGTTCTGTAGACGAGGAATCAACCAAATCAGATGAAGAGTACGACGACTTGGCCATGAAGGACGGCTATTCATCTGACGACGATGAGGACTCCAGAACTCGTTCTAATAGGCTAACATGCACCACACAGACCGAAACCAGTTCAGAAAAGAACATGAGAAATAATGAAACCTTTCAAAAGCTAAGGCGCTGCCATTCTCATTCAGATAGAAATCATAGAAACAAAGACAGAATCAGGAATCGCTCACAGACTGATGTCCTTAGAATTCGCAGTAGATCACACAGCATTTCTGCATCATTCTTCGGCGAGCAGCCTATTTCTGAGGTTCACAACGGTGTTGTTCAGGCCAAATCAGTGCGGTTCTCCTTTAAATAACCTGTTCAGTGGGCATCAATGGCTGTGTTCGGTTTTTCAGCATAATTGTTTTGAGAATCTCCCGGAATACTGATTAAGATGCCGTTATGAGGCGAGTTGGAAGGACCTTGGGATCACACCTTTTTATAGTATATATAAAGATATTTTTATTTAAAGAGATGATGAGATCATGTTGAAAATATATTCTTATGGGATGGCTTTAGCATTTCACATTTTTTTAAGATTACTATGATTTGAAAATTAATGCAGAATAAAATGAGTTGCTCAAATATTGGCTTGCACATAGTTTAATGTATCTAATAATATAAATATGTTTGTAGAATGTAAGTAGATATGTAAATTGAGGCAGAGGATATAATATTTTGTGTAACTTAGGTATTAAGTTGCTCTACTTTCATGCTAATTAATTCTGGAATTAAAAAACCATTAATGCCGATTTTGCCGATTTTGACTTGCCCCATTTCTCTCAAGTGGAGAGATCTCTCCAAAATAGTTTTTAGACTCTCCTACATGGATTATTTCTATCAATGCAAAAGTATATTAGGAGATCTGCATTAAGCCATGGGTTTAGGTAAAGAAGAAATACAATTTAGTTTGAATAATTTCATAGCTTAATACTTTATAATATTAAGTACTAACAAAGTAAGAAGATTTTGAAACTTGTATTTAATTCTCACAGCCAAAAAATACTTGCAATTGAATGATGAATTTATGCACATAATATTTAATGTTTGTATTATAATGAATGATATTTCATATGAGACGCAATATTATTTGAAAATAAATATTTTATTACAATTAAAAAAAAATTTAAGCTTACTAAAATAGATCTACAAAGAAAATAATGACTCATAAAAT